TCTCTCTCTCTCTCTCTGGTGCTACCGATTTTGTTTTTTGAGATAGTTTCTGTCTTAGATAGGGTTTTCTATTGTTATGAAGAGACACCTTGACCACAGCAACTCTTATAAAGACAGAATTTAATTGGGGTGGCTTGCTGACAGCTTCAGAGATTCAGTTCATTATTATCATGATTGGGAGCATGGCAGTGTGCAGGCAGATGCAGTACTAAAGCTGAAAGTGCTATGTCTCGCAGGCAACAGTAAGCCAACTAAATGTCACATTGAGGGAAAGATGAGCAAAAGAGACTTCAAAGCCAGCACCCATGGTAATACACTCCAACAAGGCCACTCTTCCTAATAGTGCCACTCACTTTGGGGGCTATTTTCTTTCAAAGCAGCACAGTATCTCACTAAAATTACAAACATGCACTACAATGCTCACCTTATTTATGTAAGCTCTGGCGATCAACTTCAGGTCTGTGTTGCATGGCAGGCACCTTACCAATGGAGCTATCTCCCCAGGATGCTACAGTTCTTAAATGCAAAATGCTATCATTTATTTTGGCTAACTTCACTGAAGAGGGAATTAAGGAAAGGATATTGGTGCCTTTTAGAATTCATAAAAAAGCTAAAGTATAAACTCAGCAAAGATACCAAGTCAAGGGAAGCAAAGTCCTCTGGAAACTCCCAGTTGCTGGAAAAGAAACCCAGCTGGGATGCTGCTACTTTGAGATGTGCTGTTGTGCCAAACTTTCTGCCTTACACCTTTTTGTCTCTTGAAAAAAATCTCTAAGTATCTTAGCCTCTTTCTGTTCCTATCTCAAGATCCAGAATCCTACAAGTGAGCCTTCCTTCCACCAAAAAGGGACTAATTCACTCTATTTACAGAGTGCCTATAAATGGACTATAATCCTGTTTAGTCTTCACAGAGGGATTCTTTCAAATAGGTAGACATTTGGATGCTAGTGTCTACAAACTGGACAACTGTCTATTCAAATTCAAGAATGTGAGCATGAACTTTTTCATGTACATTTATGATATTGTGATATAAACATAATGTTGGCTTAGACTATTCTTATCTCGTGTATTAGCATTTTGGAGAAGATCAAGAGAAGCTTTTTAGCTAAATTCTCCTTATCAAAAGTCCCACAATGCCAGGCATGTAATGAATGCCTGTAGCCCTAGCCCTTGGGAGGTGGATGTGGGAGGATTGGGAGTTTTAGGTAGTCTTTGACTACATAGTGAGCTCAAAGCTAGCCTAAACAAAGGTCTCCTCAAACCAAGTGAAAGACTGAAGATATTAGTCTTTCTCCAGAGCAGACTGAAGTATCTGAAGCTACAGAAGTCCTTAAGATGAATGCCAGATTCCTAATCACCTGCTTTTTGAAAAGAGGTTAAATTTTCCACTGGTTGTACTTCAGAACAGAATTTTTTCAAAAGGAAACCATTATCTCTTTAATGAGTGGTCTTATTAAGAACTTTATGGACTGGAGAGATGGTTCAGCTGTTAAGAGCACTGGCTGCTCTTCCAGAGGTCCTGAGTTCAATTCCCAGCAACAAGAAGGTGGCTCACAAGCATCTATAATGGGATCTGATGCCCCTTTCTGATGTGCAGGTATACATGCAGACAGAGCACTCATACATGGAAGAAAGAAAGGGAGGGAGGGAGAGAGGGTGGGAGGGAGGGAGGGAGAGAAGAAAGAAAAGAAAAAAGAAATTTACAATGAGAGTTGGGCATAGTGGTGCATGCTTTTCAACCCAGCACTAAGGAGGCAGGTGGATCTGTTTGAATTCAGCTTGATCTACACAAAGAGTTCCAGACAAGTCAGAGCTACACAATGAGACTCTGGAAGAGAGAGATACACAGACACACAGACAGAGAGAGACAGCAAGAGGAAAGGAAAATAATCTTACAATGATGGCAACACTTTATCCAAAGAAAGTTGTACATAAACAGGCTTTCGGCATCATAGAGTTTCTGCAAACTCAGCTTGACCTGATCCAAGCCTTCTTGAGTCATAACCATGTTTGCCTCTGAGTAACTTTAGTTGGCTTTCCCCACATTTCCTAGTACACTGTAAGTAAATTAAATTACATGTGGAGCTTTATGACTGGATCCCTGCACACCCAATGCCTGATTCCTTCATATTGGGTTATGAAAAGCGGGTATGTCCTACCTTGAAGTCATTTTGCTTTTGTCAGAATAAATTTCCATTCTTCTGACTGGAATTACAGGTATCCGTCCACTGGTCTTTTGCCACACTTCCATCAGCAAGACCCTTAAACTCTATACCATCTGGGGCTTTCCACCTCTCTCTTCAGTCTATTGCAACTTGGAGCCAGATTTTTATACTGGATTGTTCTGGCACAGAACTGGGGGAATTAACAAATTAATCCAATTAAAACAAAGAATAGTGACTAGCAAAATTGTTGGATGCAAAAACAAATTAAAATCTCCTCCCGCTAGTCTTGACTTTTGAACAGGAGTCTGCACTTCAGCCTGATCATCACCTGGTTTCTCTGGAAGGCTTGAGAAGCACTAATATAGAACATGCCAGGGAGCTGTACTTTATGGATGTCTGGCATCTTCTGAACTCATTTAAAACTTTTAATATAATTGAGTTTTTTCGTGTTGGAGATCAAACCCAGAGTGTTGCACATACTGAGAAAATGTTCTACCACTACACTATACTACCAGACTCTGCCCTCTTCTTTTGAGGAGAGAAACTCCTGACATTACATTATTGCCTCCAAGAGGTAGAAGCCACAAACTGGCTATGATGGTTCCTTTTGACTGCCAACCTTTTTGGATGGAGACACACCCAGGAGGTTATTTTTTACTCATCGAGCATCTTCGAGCATCTGTATTAGTCTAGCAGACTTTTGGGTATGTCACTGAGGGCACTTCTGGGGGGGCAGGGTTGATATGTGGTACAGAAGCAGAGGTAATGACAGACCTGCTCAAGATGGAATAAAAACAGAAAAAGAAGAAAGCCCAAACCATCACTGATGGACACCAGGGTCCACCACACGAGTCAGATTTGGAGACTTGAATGAATTGGTTGTGTTCTAAACTGTTAATTTGTGATTGTATATTTAAGAAAGTGTACTCTTTCAGCAACTGTGTTATTCACAGCTACTGTTTAAAGGTGTCTCATCCTGGCATCCAGATATCTGTGAGAACAAATTGTAAATCAAGACTGTGTTTGGAAGCCAGGCAATGGTGGTGCGTGCCTTTAATCCCAGCACTCTCGAAGCAGAGGCAGGTGAATCTTTGAGTTCAAGCCCAGCTTGATCTACAGAGGGAGTTCCAGTACAGACAGGGCTACACAGAGAAACTGTGTCTTGAATAAACAAGGAGAGAGACATAGAGGGGGGGAGGAAGGAAAGAAGGAAGGAAGAAAGAAAGGAAGGAAAGATGTGTGTTTGGTGGGCATTCAATCATTGTAAAGAGTGTCTGTGACTCGGGAATCCATGGCATACACCTTAATGAAATGCTGGAACCCCTATTCCCATGCCCCTTTCTGCGAACCAGGTACACCAGACTCCTTTCTTCTGCTCTGTGAGTAAACATTGCCACACTTCCTACAATTCATAGTCTAAGAACATTTACAGATGTGAGCAACAGAGTAGTCTGTGGTGGCACTTGCACATGATAGTAGTTTGCTGTCACCTTTGCCATAATGATGGGATTTGGACATATCTCAAGACAATATCCTCAGCCAGGCTACTGTACCTGGTGTGTTTCATCACATCTTTCTTTGTGATAGAGTGACAGCCTCAGAACTGGGAACAGTGGGGCTCAGTGTTGAGAGTGCTTGCAGAGGACCAGAGGACCACATTCAGTTCCCAGCAACCCCATCAGAACTCTCACAACACTTGCAAATCCAGCTCCAGGGCATCCAACCACCCTCTTCTGACTTCTACAGACACCAAATGGAAGATATACACATGAAAAATTGTTTTAAATCATTGGGAACAAGGAATAACTAAAGGAACATGTTGGTAACCTTTGGAGGATGTGTAAGATAACTTTACTTTCAGATAGGATCTTTCCTTGTAGTTCAGGTTGAACATGGAACTAACTGACATACCTCATGCTGGCCCTGAGCTCCGCAACTGCCTGCCTCAGCTCTAGAATGCTGCGGTTACAGGCATGCACCACCATGCCTGGCTATTGCAGGTGTTATAAAACACACACACACACACACACACACACACACACACACACACACACACTCCTCTCTCTCTCCTCTCTTTCCTCCCCACACTACCCTCATCCTCCATAATTCTTTGGCACCATTAGTAAATTTGTCTGTTTCTCTGGTGAACACCCTCCTACACTAAGCTGAAAGGATCTTGGGCGCCCATACCCAGTCTTGTGTGTCCTGTGTGTCCTAAATTCACATTCACAATACCTAGAGCGGAGTAGGAGCTTGGTATTTTTTCAACTAAATAAAGGAATGTCTCAGAAGTTAGTGAATGAGGCCCTGATGTTCTGTGTCACTGACATGCTCTAATGTGGGGTAGCCAAGGGGTAAAGACAACACAAATATTCATAGAATTGTCTAGGAGGTAAATGATACACGACTTATTTTCCCCAAATCCGTATTTTTACCCAAGACTGGGAAATACACAGAAAACAGTCCAGGCAAGGACTGGTGGAAAGAGCTGAGCCTAAAGCCTCGGGGCTTTGCGAACCACCTAGGTATGGGAGACAAGCAGGCACCTTCTTTCAGAAGGATTTTAGAAATCAAGACTTCTGGGGACCAAGAAAAGTCTAGAAAACTGGCTTCCCTATCCGAGTCGGGATGCCTGGGTGGAAAGCTGGAACTCTGGGACCTGCCAAGAATCAATCTTGTCTTGGAGAGGAAACTCTGGAAAAGCGATTCCACCGTTCCCTGGCAACTACTAGTTCCGCCCACCGACAGCCCGCCCTCTGGGCGTCACTGACTCGATTCTACCAATCAACTCACAGGATGCCAGAAAATCAAGCATCAATTGGAAGGCTCCTGGATTCCGTCATTCAGAGACTCCGCCCCTCACTGCTTCTTCCTGACTGCCAGCGACAGAGCAGAGCCGGGCGTTTGGAGACTGCTGGGCAGGTGATTGCGGTAGGTGAGGGGCCACGGTGTCCAGTGTCTAGCATCTCCTAAGGCCTGACCCCGGAACACAGCTGAGGGTATCAGGAACCGGATCATCAAGGCCAGTCAATTCTTGAGGCCTGTGGTGACTGAGGCCTGGGATCTGGACACATGGTTTCCTCTGCTGTTCTGGACGTTCCGGGGTCAGGGACTTGCAGGCTCCCTGGTGAAAGCAGACCTGGGGTTTGTGTGTGTTCACAGGACTTCGATGGAGGATCTGTGCCTCTTACTTTGGGCCCTCGCGCTGTCTAGAGTGGAATTTTTCAGACTTTACCCTCGTCAGCTTTCCTGATCTTTAAAAGCCCTCTTGCAAGAAGCTGTCGACCTAGTCTATAAATCTAGATGGTTATGGAAATCCCTAGGCTCTGCGCGTAGCCCTTCTCATCAGTCTCAGCGTGGGCGGCTCAGTGTGTTTCCCAAGCAGGCAGTGTTGGTGCTGGGTAAAAATAAGGACTTTGGAAGCAAAATATCAAATACCAGCGTTGCAGCTTTGAGCAAACTACTCGTTCGATCTTATTTCTTCTTCCCGCTTCGTCCTCGTCTTTTTCCTGCCTCTCTTCCTTCTTCCTCACCAGTTTCTGGAGTTCATAATCTTTCTACCTCAGACGTCTGAGTGCAGGCATCACAGATGTGCTCCACCACACCTAACTGTGTCTGTAAAATTTTGAAAATGCCTCTTTTCAGTGTTTTTATTCAGTGCTAATTATCTGGTTGATTACACATTGCATACATTTATTGAATTATCACACTTTTACTACATAAATATGGGCAATTAAAATAGTAATACAAAATTAAGTGGTAAAGAGTATGAATAGGGGTGTGGAGGAATTTGAAGTATATAGCCCAGCTGCTACTGTAGTGAGTGAATGTCCATGCATTAGGAGAGGACTCGTTGACAGACAGTTTTCACCAAGCAACATTTTTGCTGTTTTCTTATGTAAGACTGTCAGTTTGTGCCCTGCTGAAGACAGGCTTTAATTGACTGATGATGGAACAGCTGTGTGTTGGAGATCTGAAGGGAAGAGTGTAGCTAGCTACTTGTGCACAGTGGAAACAACACAGATATTCTTTGTTTGTTTGTGTACTTGCTTGCTTGCTTGCTTTTCCAGATAGAATTTCTCTGTAGTTGTGGAACCTGTCCTGGAACTGTCTCTGTAGACCAGGCTGGCCTCCAACTCAGAGATTCACCTGCCTCTGCCTCCCAAGTGCTGGAACTAAAGGTGTGCTCCACCAACTCCTGGCTAACACAGATATTATTGTGTTTATTGAATATATAAAATGCAGGGCTGGGCTGTAGCTTCTCCCACTCCTTGATGGGTTCTCATCCTGCAGGTTAAGGCCATCTGGAGGCAGCAGACTCTTCTGCCCAGTCAGCTGTAAAGCCCTGGGCTCCTTTAATGCGCTTCTCAGACTCCTTCACAGATTCGGGGTGTGTGTGTGTGTGTGTGTGTGTGTGTGTGTGTGTGTGTGTGTGTATGTGTGAATTTTTTTTTTTTTTTTTTTTTTGACATAGGGTCTCACAATGAAACCCTGATCTGGAACTTGCTATGTAGGCCAGCCTACAGACTCATAGTGATCCCCCTGCCTCTGCCTCTGTTGTACTGGGATTAAAGGTGTGCACCACCACACCTGGCTATACTATATTTTTTTAAAGACTTTTTTTATTTTATATGTGTTTCGCCTGCATGTATGTATGTGCACCACATGCATGCCTCGTGCCCACAGAGCCAGAAGAGGACATTGGATGCCCTGGAACTGGGTTAAAGATGGTTGTAAACTGCCTTGTGGATGCTGAAGACCGGACTCTAGACCTCTGCAAGAGCATCTGGTGCTCTTAATCTCTGAATCATCTTCCTTCCTTCCTTCCTTCCTTCCTTCCTTCCTTCCTTCCTTTCTTTCTTCCTCTCTCTCATTTAATTAGAGACAAAGTCTCACTGCGTATTCTTGGCTGTCCTGGAACTTATGGAGATATGACTGCCTCTGTGTCCTCCCAAGTTCTGGGTCTAAAGGCATGCGCCACAGTCAGCATCATACTGTATTGGAGCTAGTCTTTACTCACTGAGGTTTTTTTTTTTTTTTTTTTTTTTTAATTTTGTTTTGTTTTGTTTTTTCAGCTCAGACTGCAAATGAAAATGTTTGAGAGTCTTGACTCTTCAGCTACAAAATCTGGCCGGGATCTCTGGGCTGAAATCTGTTCTTGTCTGCCAAATCCTGCCCAAGATGTTGCCGAGAATGCCTTCTCAGACTCCTTTATGGATCCACATCCTGCAGGGGAAGGCCACATGGAGCCAGTCCAGCCAGCTAAGCCCTGGGCTCCCTTGCATGATTCAGAAGTGTATTTAGCATCTCTAGGTAAGTTCTCTGTTTCTCTGTCTCTGTCTGTCTGTCTGTCTCTTTCCCCTCCCTTCCCTCTCTTCTGCCCTCACCCTAGCCCTTGTGCTTTTTAGGTCTCATGTAGCCCAGTTTGGCTTTGAACTTGCTATGTAGTTGACCTTGAACTTCTGAACCTCCTGCCTTCACCTCCTAAGTGATGGGATTACAAGGGCAATTGCCCACACCCAGCTTCCCTCTGCCCCTTTATACTTTTTAACTTGTATATAAAAACCATAACAATTCTAAATATTAACTATATTAGCATTGTTAAATGATCCCATCTTGTAGAGAGTAATGACAAGGACAGTAGGATTGATAGTTACTGCCATGACTAATACTCTTTTGCCTAATACTCTTTTTTGCAGTGTGTTAAGCAATTATGCCTCCCCACACACACACTTTTTTTCCCCAGAGACAGGATTTTTCTATGTAACAGCTCTGACTCTCCCAGAATTCACTTTGTAGATTAGGCTGGCCTTGAACACACTAAGATTTGCCTCCTGACTACTGAGATTAAATTCATGCACCACCATGCCTGGCACCTTTTTTCCTAAAAAACAAAAATTAATTAAATGTTAGATATTCATCACTCCTCTTACTTCCTTCAAGAAAATTCCATAGTTATTAACCTGTAGGGTGTCTTTCTGTGTTTGTTTGTTTTATGGGTGAGTTCATGCTGGCATGTAATGTTTCAGTTCATCTCTACAAAGTATACTGTTTAAATCAGGATAAATCTATTTCCCTAAATGTTTTTCATTATGGTAAAAGCCATGTGTCCCAAAACCAAATCTAGAAATTACTATTTGAAGAAGTTTAATCCCATGGAGTTTTTAAATATTTTATTATTTTTACAGGGGTGGGAGTCAAATCTAAGCCCTCTGTTAGGTATGTGAAGGACACAAAGAAGGGTCAGAGCTCAGGTGATTGCTAGCAAATATCTAGGGAGAACAAAGGGAGTTCATTAATGATGGCTAGAGGAAAAGGTATGAGAAAAATGCAGTTGGAAAGACAGAAGACATGATGTGGGATCCTCGTGAGATGTGTGAGCGAGCCAGCCGAGAAGAGTAGCGTCTGCTGTCAGGGCCAAGGGATGAAAGAGTTCTGTTTGTGGTAGACAGAACATCTGCTCCACAGTGATAAGAGGCAGCAGCCTGGGAAAAAATCAGATCCTTTGGCTGGTAGGTAGCACATGACCAGAGCTTATAAGAAACACTCTTGGATCTGGGCAGTAGTGGCACTTGCCTTTGATCCAATCCCAGCACTAGGGAGGCAGAGGCAGGCTGATCTCCAGGCTTGAGGGCAACATGGTCTACAGAGCAAGTTCCAGGACAGTCAACACAGAGAAACCCTGTTTTGAAAAAGAAAGGAAGGAAGGAAGGAAGGAAGAGAGAAGGAAAGGAAAGAAAAAAGGAAACACTCTTGGGGACGATGATGATGATGTTGATTGGTGAATAAAATTAGTTGGAAAGTTAAAGTTCTACTGGCCTTTCCTAAAATCTGTTAAGAAACTAACTGGTAACTAAAAGTTCCTTGAGAGGAAGCTGAGAGCCTTTTTGCAGCCCAGAAAAGAATTAGGTGATTGTTGTTTGGAATAAGCCAAAGTGCCTGGGTCAGCCTGCCTATTAAAACCACACGCTTGGGAACCTGGCAAGCTCATTCTAGCTTCAAAGAGTACCTATTCCATGACAACTAAGGCCAGACAACTTGAAGATTGTTTTTATTGCCAAATAAACTTATGCCGAAAAGAATCCACTGAAAAGTGCAATAGTAAAAAAAAAATTAACCAAATAAATGTTAGATGCACACTATCCTTTTTATGTCCTTAAGGGAAAAGAAACATTAATGTTTATCAGCTTCAGGTATTTCACATGGGTGAGCTCTTGCCTGTGACTGACAGAAATTCAAAGTGTTTATTGTTTTGGTCAGTGGCTGTTAGCTGATGTAACATTTTTAGAAATGGAAACAAGACTACACATTAAAAAATTTCCGTTGGTTCTCAAATTGATGTCCATCCTTCAAGCAGCTATCAGTCACTTGTTGTTTTGAATATTCCTTTCCTGGGGAGATGGTGTCTACCCCTTCCTTGTGGGGTCCCACTGACAAGACTAAGTACTATAACACGGAAGTTCACCCTGGGGAACCAAATGGTGTGTAGGGCTTGTTTAAAGGGCATAGGTGAAGGGCCACTTACAGGAGCATGGGTGACCCCAAAGCAGCTAAACCTGAAAATCTTCCAATATGGATGATGCCTTTCCCCAATAGCTGTGTAGATGGAGTCCCCCTGAGTCAACCTCCCCCAGCCCATGTAACACAGCACTTCATGAGGCTCCTACCCACATGCAACAGGACAGAATGGCTGAAAGGGCAGGAAGGTGAGAGCCAGACTCTCACCATGACATATGTAGCTTGTCCTTGACTAGAACATTACAAAGTACATGACTGAATTATACAGTTGAAGACTAAATTAAGGCAGAAAGTAATGGTGATGTCATTCTTTGTGTGCTTCAAAAGAGGTCTCCTCAACAATTAAAATGCAAAGAAGAGTAATTAAGCATCTATCAACAGGAAGCCTTGTGAATCACTCTCAAAGGGATTACAAGATATTTGTTTTTATTAGGATCCAACATCCAGGCCACAAATTGAGGAACTTTTGAAAATGTTGGAAGACATTTTTCTTTAATCAAGAATTTAATTCCACATAGACATCCTAAAGGTCTCTTATTATTGCATTCCCATCAAGTCAGTTTTAGCATCTAATGAACCACTGGGTCTCTTCATTTTCTCTAACGCTTTCTTATGACGGTTGGAAACCACTTCATGTCCTTGTAACTAGAAGAAAAACCACTTGAGACATTGCTTTCAAGGAGTTGAAAACAGGAGATGAAATACACATGCCAAGCCAGGGAAAACAAGCATTCCTTAGAGAGACACCTGCTGGGCTTCCATGATTTAAAAAAAAAAAAAAAAAAAAAAAAAAAAAAACAGAAAAGAAAAGAAAATAAAAACCTGGCTCCTTTTCTAGGGTTAAACATTTACTTGAGATAGTGAGGGATTGGAAAAGAAACATTCAGTCAGCTTTCATTTTTCCTCTAAAATGAGGGCTTTGTTTTGTTTTGGTTTGGTTTTTTGTTTTGTTTTGGTTTGGTTTTCAGCGACTGGATGTGTTCATCAGTAAAAGGGTTTTTTGATGCTGTTGTTTTCTGGTCTGTTGGGTTGGATATTTGAGACAAGGTCTTCTGTAGCCTGGCCTAGCCTTAAACTTGCTGTATAACTGATATTGGCTCATACTCTTTTCTCTCTCAGAGAAGAAACTAAGAAGAATCAAAGGTTTAAATGAGGAAGTAACTTCCAAGGACATGCTTCGAACTCTGGCCCAAGCTAAGAAGGAATGCTGGGATCGGTTCCTCCAAGAGAAGTTAGCATCGGAGTTTTTTGTGGATGGACTTGATTCTGATGAGAGGTAATTGACAGCTGATTTCACTGAGTGTACTTTCATTCACTAAAGAACTCAGAGACAGTGATATCACAGTACTGGCATCAGTTTATACTCATGTCTCTTTGAGCTGAAATCAGCCCTTGGAAGATTGTCCAGTTTGCCCTTAGAGCAACAAAAGATTTTTAGAATGACAAATACCCTCAGCTACATTTTGGCCACAGATTAAGTAGATTTGAGGATGAACCACTGTCTTCATTTCTAAGGATATGATGCCCTGGAGACGGGAGTAGGAAAGCAGTAGCTGGAACCATGTTTTCTTAACTCCTAAGCTCCATGCCATAGACCTTTTGTCCTATTAGAGCCACTCAATAAATGTGTGTGGATCAGCCAGGCAGTGGAGGTGCATCTCTTTAATCCCAGCACTCAGGAGGCAGAGGCAGGTGGATCTCTGAGTTTGAGGCCAGCCTGGTCTGCACAGCCAAGATTACACAGAGAAACCCTGTCTTGAAAAAAAAAAAAGTGTGTGGTTCAAACAAATTTTTCATTTTGTTTTGTTTTTCAAGACACGGTTTCTCTGTATTGCTTTGGAGCCAGGCTGGCCTCAAACTCACACAGATCCACCTGCCTCTGCTTCCCGAAGGCTGGGATTGACACCACCAATGCCCAGCCAAACAAACACATTTTTTTAAGCATCTTTTATGTAATGACACTGCTTGGTGCTTGAGGATGGTATTGGTTACTTTTATGTTGCTGTGATAAGACCTTGTGACCAAGACAACTTGCAGAAGGAAGGGTTTATCTGGGGCTTCCAGTTCAGAGGGGAAGCATGACAGCAGGTAGGCATGGAAACTGCAGATGGGAGCAGAAAGCTGAAGGCTTACATCTTGAGCCACAAACAGGATGCAGAAAGAGTAAACTTGAGATGATGGGAGGCTTTGAAACCCCAAAGCTCTCCCTCAGTGGTGCATATCTTCAAGCAAGACCACACCTCCCAATCCTCTCCAAACAGCATCACCAACTGGAGACCAAGTGTTCAAATGTCTGAGTATGAGAGAGAGAATTTCATTCAAACTATGACATTTCACTCCCTGGCCCTCATAAGCTCATGACTATACCATAATGCAAAATGCATTTAGTTCAACTTTGAAAGACCCCGTGGTCTTACAGTCTCAACTCAACGCTGTTTTATTTATTTATTTTGTTGTTGTTGTTTGTTTGTTTGTTTTTCAAGACAGGGTTTCTCGGTATTGCTTTGGAGCCTGTCCTGGAGCTAGCTCTGAAGACCAGGCTGGCCTCAAACTCACAGAGATCCACCTGCCTCTGCCTCCCGAGAGCTGGGGCTAAAGGTGTTCACCACTAACACCCAGCTCTCAACACTGTTTTAAAGACCAACGTCTCTGAAACCGAAAGCAGTCTCTTTACTGTGGCCCTCTGTAAAAATCACTGACCTATGCTAGGTTCAGTGGGAGAGCCTGTCTCAAAGGAATAAGGTGGAGGCTGATGGAGCAAGACACTGGATGTCTTCTTTTCACCTCTGAGTGTATCCTAAGGGCCCTGTACCTGCACACACATATACCACACATGTGCATCACACACACACAATTTAAAAAATTGGTGGGAGAAATAATTATAATTTTTTAAGTAAAGTCCTTAGGGGAAAATGACTTTAGCTCACAACACACAGTTAATATTGATTTTGAAAGTCCCACTGTGACATGTAAAGATGCTTCTGGTGGAATCAAGGCCAATATCTGAATAAAATATCATCATCATACTTCATACATTTTTAATCAGCATACCCTCAGACCCTTCAGAAATCAGTATAACATTTTTAAGGTCATCCCAACTACTCTCAGAAGGCTTACAAGATAGATTTTTTTCCTATTTGTAATGGCTCAACATAAGTGAGTCTGAAACTTCCCCAAACAGACAATTTGAACCTACAAAGATTTCTGACCCATTCATACTCTACTTGGCATACTCTGCTCCAACTCTAAGACTTTGGCTGGGAGTGATGGTGTATGCCTTTAATCCCAGCACTTGGGAGCCAGAGGCAAGTGAATCTCTGCGTTTGAGGCCAGCCTGGTCTACAGAGCTAGTTCCAGAACAGCCAGGACCAGAGAAACCCGGGCTTGAAAAACAAAACAAAAAAAAAACAAAACAAGCACACACACACAAAAAGAAACCAAAACTTTCTCTTGCATAGTCAAGAAAGAATTCCTTCTCTCTGTAGTCAGACTACTCTGCTTGTGTAATCACACATAAAACTAAGTGAGCTCCCCCTTTTGTTTTGACTTTCCCTTTTCTATAGAAATAATTGAACAGTTCCATAAAAAGGGTGGTAATGAAGAGCAAATGCCTTTCACCTGATTCTCTTGAGCTGTGGGTATTAATCAGCCTACTGCTTAACCTGACCTCTAGCACTGGGCTCTGTTCCTCTTACATCTGTAGGAGTACTTCTGTCATTTGGCAGAACAAGATGGGAAAACATAGCTATGGGAAACTATTGGGAAATAGTAACTTAGTTAGGCTTTTGTTTTCATACTCAAAATTTGCATTTTAAACAGGCAAATTTGCATTCCATGAGGGCCAGGTAAGAGATTCCTCATGTGAGAGATGCTACTGTTAAACACACAGTCCTATGGCTTTATGCTTTTTGTTTCTTTGGTTAGTTGGTTAGCAATGTGGTCTCTTTCTGTAGTCCAGGCTGGCCTTGAACTTGTGACAGTCCTCCTGCCTCAGCCTCCTGAGTGCTGAGAACTGTGGGTGCGAACCACCAATACTTAGCTGCTACGTGTCCGTGTCATTAAAGAGCATAGCATGGAGTTCATATTATATCTAGTCATTTATATGTTACTGTGAATGTGTAATAACTATTGATCTAGGATCCTGGGTGCTTAAGGGAGGTGGGAGGGAAACAGGAACATGACAACTGACCAGCCCCGCCTCTCTCCACAGGCAAATGAAAAGAGCACTTGGTGGAACATTGGATGCTCAGATGTTTCTATCTAGGGTCTTTTTATTTTTTTCCACCCTTGGTTTGGAGACAGGGTTTCTCTGTGTAACAGCCCTGGCTGTCCTGGAACGTACTTTGTAGACCAAGCTGATCTCTAACTCCTTGAGATCTGGCTGCCTCTGCCTCCAGAGTGCTGGGATTAAAGGCATTTTAATCATCCCGCTCCCAAATTACTGTTCTTACAAATAAACTCTGTTAATGTAATTGAGACACACGCTGTCTAAGTAGAAAAGATCTATTTTTCCATCTCACCCATAATTTGGTATTTATTTGTTTCATTCTCTTAACAATTTCTCTCCTTTTCAGATTTGAGGAAAAAAAGATAAAACTGAGGCACAAGCTCTTTAGCTATTCTCCTCAAGCCTTCAGAGGCCCTGCTATGAAGGGGCTCTTGCGCTGCTTAGAGCCAAAGTGCCCACTAGGGGGTAAATGGCGCTGTTGAGCTGCCGGGATGCGCAGCTGTCAGAGCAGTAGCACGTTGTCGGTTGTCCGTTGTCCCTGCGCCTTAGCAGGGAAAAGCAGAGGTGGGAAGCAACTGATGGTGGGCGGGAAGGCAATATTTGAGTAACAGAGCTAGTCATTAAGTAATTAATCGGCGAGGCCTGACCTAGTCATTCTTCTGCTCTTTTGTAGCACCTTGGAACATTTCAAAAGGTGGCTTCAGCCAGATAAAGTTGCCATCAGCACAGAGGAGGTCCAGTTTCTCATCCCTCCAGAATCGCAGGCGGAGAAGACAGAGGCCGGGGACAAGCCAGCAGCAGGAGAACAATAAATTACACACACATAAGCCAAGCAGCTGTCTGAGGCCCTGGGGGAATGGTGGAGAGCTTGACAGCATGGCAGCAAAGAGAAATCCAGGGAGAGAAAATGCCCAGACTTCCAATCCACAAAGCAAACAGCTGCTGGCCCCTGAGGGCTTGCTTGGAACTGGCATGTGTGAGCTCTGTTGCTGCAGGTTAGAGGTTTGCAAGGATCCAGCGAAGAGCAGGGTGTGAAAGTGCTGGGAGACACTGGGGCTCTTGTATATAATGTACCGGTTAAGCTAACCATGTTTTTTTCTCACTTCCAGGTGTTCCTCTGTGTGTGTGTGTGTGTGTGTGTGTGTGTGTGTGTGTGTGTGTGTGATGCATTCCAAAGCTAAGTAGTCAGGAGCAGGTGTAGCCAAGGAGAGTGAGGTCAGCCTCCTGGAGTCCAAGCCCCCCGTGGAGCTTTCTCACATACTCATCGTAAATAGAAGGACTCAAGGGAAACGGGCTTTTCTATGTTCTTTGTGTCAAAAATGGGGGGGGGGGAGTGTGAAAACGTGGGTGTTTGTATCTGTGTAGATATATATTCTATTTTATGGCTTCTCCCCCAGCCTCTTTCTGTATCAAGTTCCAAATTAGACTTGTAAATACAGTTTAGTGTTTGACACAACTCTTGATTAGTTCCAAACTTTGCTCCCTGTGGCAACTTTCCCAACTGAGCTTGCATTTACTGTTTATTGTGTTGTTGTTCGTGTGAAGCTTGAGTTGTCTGTATAAAACTCTCATTGGAACAACTGTGTAGTGTGGGTGGTACTGTTGGCCCTGGAAGGAGGAAAGTAAAGACAGAGGTATGCTATGGAAGGGGGCTAGAAGCCTTTGCCAGCCTCTTGTTTTTGTATGTTTGTTAAGATTTACTTATTTGGCCAGGCATGGTGGCACATTTTAATCTCAGGACTCAGGAAGGTAGAGGCAGGCCATTAACTCAAAATCTATGAGTGTGAGTGTATATAGCCAGGGCTATATACAGAGACCCTGTCTCCAAAAAAAAAAAAGAAAGAAAGAAAAGATTTTATTTATTTTATTTATGTGTATGTGTGTTTGCTTGTATGAATTTATGTACACCACGTATGAATAAGAGCCCATGGTGACCAGAAGATGTCAGATCCTTTGCAACCAAAGTTACAAGTGGTTGTGAGATGCCATGTGGGTTCTGGCAACTGGACCCAGGTCCTCTGCAAGAGCAATAAATGCTCTTAGATAGTTTTGTTTTGTTTTTCCAGACAGGATTTCTCTGTATAATAGTCCTGGCTGTCCTGGAACTCACTTTGTGTGTGTTTATAATGCATGCCTCTGACAGTCTGAGCTGAAATGTTGTAAGGTTCTGGGGCTGTGGCTCCTGGGTAACAGTGAATTCATAATGATGAGCAGTGTGGCTAAAAACTTCAGAGGATACTTGCTCTTTTTCTGTTTTGATTTACTTTTGTTCTTTTTGTTTGTTTGTTTGTTTTGAGACAGGATTTCTCTGTGTAGCCGCACTGGCTGTCCTGGAACTTGCTTTCTAGACCAAGCTAGGCTTAAACTCTCAAAGATCCACCTACCTCTGCCTCCTGAGTGCCAGGTTTGAAGGCGTGCGCCGCACCACCCAGCCACACTTGCTCATTTTTAAATCAAGTATTTGCCTTATTGAGAAGGAGATGTGCCACACAGCCCATACCATATACTTACTTAATGATAGAAATATTTTGTAATTTCCAGATACCCTCTTCTCACCTCTTTTTTGTTATCGACTACCGGTGTTAACTTCAGTGCTATTGCTACTGGTCAATAGGATATACTTGACATAAAAGGTAGACCCTGGGGAAGTCTGAACAATGATGGAATCTGGCACTGAACCAAGCTGTCAAGCTGCCACCTCTGTCCGTGGGTCAGGTGGCAGACCGCACTATCCCTCCAGGGCCAGCTAATGGCTTCAGCTAGATGGGGAGGATTAAAAGAAAAAGGCTAAGGTTTTCCTTCATCCTGAATGATAAAAGAAAACCATTCTTCCTCAATAATGACAAGGAAGAAAAGTGGCAAGGCCTTGAGAAACTGTGCCGCAGAGCAGCTGGCCCTAGGACAGAAAGACAGAAAGTAGAGGTTCTGTAATCAAGGCAAAGTCTTAGCCTTTTCATACCTCTACCTCCTGTTTTCTACCTCAAAATTAGATATTTTGGGAGCTGGAGAAATGGCTCAGATTAAGAGCACTTGCTGTTCTTGCAGAGAACCTAAGCTTAGTTCCTGATATCTACACCAGTCAAGCTCCAACTCCAGGGGCTCCAACATCTGCTTCTAAGGGCACCTACACTCACACACAAACACACACACACACACACACACACACACACACACACACACACACACCAGACATTTTGGTACAAGATGGCAGAAGGTTGATTTAGAGGAAACCTGGCAGAGGTAAGAGAGGAAGGTTGCAGATCTCCACTCATCTCGATTAATTCTGAGGCAAATCTCTATTAAAGGGGCTCCAGTAAGTTTTAGCTATGGGCTCTGAGCCATTTTAGAAGTGGCAGTTTCAGTAATTAGTCTTTAAAAAGGTGAAACCCAAACCAAACCTCATATGAGCTCCAAAGTCACTCTATATTCATAGAGATTTACCCAGGCTCTTGAAATGGCACTCCATTTGACACCAAGTGTTTGGGGTGCTATCTTTGTCCTGTGGCTTGCAGTGTGGTCATGAATAAGTCAAATGACCTCTTTGTGTTCCAGTTCCCTTTCAGTAATTAGACTAACCATAGGAAAAATAAGATTGGCCTGAGATGCTGGTCTGCTTCCTTTCACCCTGAAACCCTAGGGAGAACTTCCTCAAATCAGTGAAATGTGTGAGTTGAGAGAGCCTTATCACCCCAACCTCCTTCCTTCCTTGTGTCCTTACTGAAACAGATCAAAAGGTAAAGCAAATGCTAGACCTCAAAGCCAACAAAGGGTAATTACCCACCAGGGATAAGGCAGTAATGACCTGGTGTAGCCAGGGAAGGTTGAGTGGGAGCCAGGGAAGTAAGCTAAGTGACTGCCACTGTTTTCTGGCACATGTACTCATCACCCAGGCCTTGGCAAGGTCAGTGCTGGAATGGCACAGGCTTGCATCCAGTACCTGCTCCAGAAATAGGCTCCGGACACATTCATACAGCATAAACAAGTATCCCACCAACTGTTGCCAAGGTGTGTCCCTTCTAGGCAAGCCTGCCTTACTGGGTGATTGCTGGAAGAGGAAAGGTACCCTGAGCCACTTCTTAGACACTGCCTCTCCAAGCCACATGAAACTGCTAACATTTCCTTGAGACTATCCTATTCAATACTGGCTCTACTTCAGTTACAAGATTCAAGACAGGACACTATTGTCATAATCATAGTTTGTAAGAGAACTGTTTACTTGAGCCTAGCAGTGGACTATTTAAGGCAGAGATTCATTCATCTAACCAAGGTGTGCTGTGCTTCTGCTATGCTCCAGGCACTGGGTGTGGTGATAAATAATAAGACCCCAACAGAAGGAAGTGTTAGTGTAGGACACTTTGGGAACACCTGTCGGAGAGAGAGGAGAGCCCTAGGCCAGCTGGTGGCCGGTGAGGGAGAGGTCCAGAAGAACCAGTAGGCGCAGGGAGAAACAGAGGGTCAAGAGTATGGGGGCCTAAGTGTGTACAATGGCCTAAGGCAAAAGTGTGTTTGAGGGATCTTGAGAAAGTTGTTCAGTAAGGCTGAAGCATAGAGAACAGAGAAAACAGCAACAATCACAAGAGATGTTAATGACACAAGGCTATGTGTAAAGGTCCCATAACCATGGTGAGGCTCTACTGGGCCACTTAAAGAGGGGCAGTGAGTGAACAGATCAGATCTGCATCTCGAAAGATGGCTGCGCTACTCTGGGCACGACCTGGTTAAGTTGATAGGAAATGTACAAATTAGTCACTTTCAGTCGTGATAAATATATCTGCTTGAGATGGAACAAGTGCAGGGCTTGTGTTTTGTTTTTCTAACTTGATTTATTTTAAATTCTTTCCCTCTGTTACTGGACAAATAGAATTATGTTATGCCTGGCAAGTTGTATTTTCCAATGACGGTCAATTTAGTATATGACATCTCACGCATTCGCACTACAGAGTGATGTGTACACACACTCCTCCACTGACATGATGGGTCCATGTTCCCTCCCTTTGAACTTGGTAGATCTTTATGTCAGTGCCTCGCTAATGGAGTGCAGCACTAGGAATGTAAGTCTAAGGCTGTCGCAGAAGCCCTCCATCTGCTTCTCCCTCCCCCCCTCCTTCCCTCCCTCACTCCCTGTAGCCCTTTTCATCCACTCCACCACCTTCATTCAAATTATTTTCATTCCTGGTCTTTAATCAGGCCTACTTAACACTAAGTGGAATTAAGACAAGTGGTCTTTGCCAAACCCTGAAAAATTCATGGGTAAACCAAATGTTACAGCTTAAATCACTAAGTTTGGGTCAGATTTGTTACTCAGTCATAGTCAATGGACGACCATGACTTAGGCTTCAGATATCATATAGCCAATTTCAGCTATTCTGTTCTAGTATCTGATGATTACAAAATTTTAGGACATTGGCTACAGTATGAATGGAGGAGGGAAGCCAGTTTGAAACAGTTACATTTGTTTTAAAAAGCATTGTAATGGCTTGAGGACTTTTATTTCTACTTAGGATGTAGAATAGTGGAAGGGAAATGCCTTCTGTAGCCTAAGAAAGAGAAATAGCCAGATAGCCTGCATAATTATATATTCTCTCTTCATTTCTTTCTTTCTTTCTTCTTTTTTTTTTTTAATGCCACTCCAATTTTAGCCTTCCTTCCTTCCTTCTTTCCTTCCTTCCTTCCTTCCCTTCTTCTTTGGGAGTCAGGGTCTCTCTGCTATGTAGCCTTAGCTGTCCTGGATCTCAATATGTAAACCAGGCTGCTGGCCTCAAACTCACAGGATCTACCTGCCTCTACCTCATGAGTGCTGGAATAATGTGTGCTCCACCTCACCAGCAAAGGCTGTTTACGTTTGGGATTTTTTTAGGGTGTGTGTGTGTGTGTGTGTGTGTGTGTGTGTGTGTGTGTGTGTGTGTGTTTGATGTTGGAGATTGAACCCAGGGCCTTCCTGTTGTTAAGCAAGTCTCTGCCAAGGAGGTATATCCCCAGTTTCAATCATAGGTTTCCTTAAACTGATCACAAAACTGAGATCAAGGCAGTCAAGGAAAGTTCCTCTCAAGAGCCCTAAGTACACAAACATGAATGACTACAGCTCTGGCAAAGACGTAGCTGTCATGCTGTGGGTAGGAAGAAATCTACAAACATGTTAGCAAATGTGTAAAGGCTATGTATGCATGATCATATCTGTTTAGAACAGCTTGAGACTGCCTTGGGATGTGCCTCAGTGGTGGAACCCTTGAGTAGCATGCACAATGACCGGGATTGGATACTCAGCACTCGGAAGAAAAAAATGAGATGCCATTTCAGACACGGGAATCTACACTCACCAGCAGCCTTGGTTCAAGAAGCCTGTCTCCTGGGGCAGAAACAGTGCAGGAGACAGGAGAGACTTGTCCAGGTGGTGGCTGTAGGAAAATAGAAATCCTCAACCATTTTCACAATCATCTCCTGTATGTAAAAACTTTA